ACTGGAGAAAAATCATAAATAATTGCATTTCTTATTTTTTCTTGTCTTATTTTCTAAATTACCTTATAACAAACACGCGTTACCTTTAGATAAGAACATTACAATGGGAGGAATTTTTTCTAAAAGTACTGCCTATTCATTTCTTGGAAGTATCAAATCCACTGCATATAGAATTCTGCAGAATTCCAGTCTGTTCTCTCACCACACTCCCCTGTATTCCTGGTCACATTATTAATTTACTATGCTACTTGAATGTCCATAGGCTGAACAAACCCATCCTGCATACTTTATAATAAATTCCAAGAGCATGGAATTAATGTTGATTAATAAATGTATAACTTATTTCTGCACAAAGTTTGGTCTGGTCTACATAATCCCCCGAATTCTGGAAAATCCTAATTTGCCAATCTCCACTCTCGTTCTTGGAGAATCTGGATAAGGTCTGAGTAGGTTTAATAACAGTCACCGTTACTTTACCGACTGAAATGTGAGTGGATGAACAGAATAATTCAAGACTTTAAGGTGCCATCACACAATCCTGAGCAGTAAGTTATAACGGATGCCTTTAGAGAAGTCACCATCATCACGTTCCCCCTGAATTAGACAGTAAGAGAGGCACTATACATCTGTTAAATGCCTGCTTAGGCAGGAGCATAATAACGCAGAGTTTAAACAGCCAGGACTCTGACAACGGAATTCCGTCTCATGATGAAGGGAGCGAGCGCACACCCTGTGACTGGAAGTATTCGAGCAGAAGCTGAGTTACTCCTCCTCAACATGTTTTTAGACACTGAGTTTATGCGTTAACTGGATGATTTTAGGAGAGTTATCCTGAAGGGAAGTCCGTCCATTTTACATTTCACATAAAGGCGTGATACTTTAGATTTTATAAACTTTAACATTTGCAACTTGATCTCACTTTTTTTTCTGATGCAGATTCAGATTAACAAAAGGAATTTTTCTTTAAAATATCAGTAGGTTAAAAAGTAAATTTTCTATCCTCGTTTTTAAGGTACCATTTACTTAAAGATGTACATTTTAAAGGAAATGTCACTAAGCATAACGGTATTTGAAATTTTACCAAATTTACATACTTTTTAAAAAGAAGTCATGTTTACATGTTTACTACTACAAACTGTTAAAAAACAATTGTTTAACAATTTGTAGTAGTAATTTATGCATAAGGTCTAGGATATATTTCTTTCTTTTTTTTTTTTTTTTGTGGTACGCGGGCCTCTCACTGTTGTGGCCTCTCCCGTTGTGGAGCACAGGCTCCGGACGCACAGGCTCCGGACGCACAGACTCAGCGGCCATGGCTCATGGGCGTAGCCACTCCGCAGCATGTGGGATCTTCCCCGACCGGGCAAAAACCCGTGTCCCTTGCATCGGCAGGCGGACTCTCAACCACTGCGCCACCAGGGAAGCCCTAGGATATATTTCTAACAGATGGTCTCTATATAAGCATCAAGGAAAATTCCATTACAAAATACGATTTCAACAACCATTTAAGGTATAGAAGTTGAAACAGGGACCTAGGGCAGGCCATGTTTTTTTTTTTTTTTAATATTTATTTATTTATTTGGCAGCATCGGGTCTTAGTTGCGACATGTGGTATCTTTCATTGTGGTGCGAGGGCTCTAGAGCACGTGAGCTTACTTGCTCCACGGCATGTGGGATCTTAGTTCTCTGAACCAGGGATCGAACCCGCATCCCCTGCATTGGAAAGCGGATTCTTAACCACTGGACCACCAGGGAAGTTTCCAGGCCACTGGAGTTTATAATAAGTAATCACTGTACTTAGTCCAGAAATCCCTCAGGTAATTTCATTTCTTGCCTGCCTGCCCCCTCCAAGTTTCTACTGATAAATAATAAGGTATATTTTAAGTGTTAGAGAAAAAACACCAAGTCTTGATATATAATTATGAATGCATGTCTATGTATTTTCAGGTTTATATTAAGTGCAATATTTATCTTATTTCAAATGTCTTCTTTATGGAGAGAGAAGCAAAAAAATTGAATATTGTCATGTGCCTTGGACATAGCTAAGCTGTCTGCATTTTACAATCAGCATGGGACCACAAGAACTCTTTCTTCAATGCTAAGTATAAAAGGTCATTGTACATATCAGCAAGAATGAGGAAAGAACTCCAAAAAGGCTCAGCTTGCCCAGCACCAAGACTCAAGTTAAATACCACAATCATGCCAGCCATTGGTTACCATTCAGTCTCTGTCTGCAGTCTGGAAACCAGTCTGCCAGAAGCCCAGATAGCAGAAAAAGCTGCCATGTTTATCACACTACTGATCCCAAGAGACCAATTTAAACAGAAATTATATGTGTTCTACATTAAGAATGAAAAGTATCCCTAACTTTACAAAAGAGTTTTTTCTAGGACAACAAAGAACATACATTTTGGAAATTCAATCATTGAAAAAGACAATATGAACCGTAAATGTGAACTGGGCACATGGGCCTATTCACCAACGTCAACATAAATAAATTATTCCTTTTGTAGCTAAGCAGACAGTGTTTCTTGAGAAAAATTGTGAACTCCACTTTCAGTGGGTTAGCTATTACACATTAAAAATTCAGTTGAAAATATCTTTCAAAAGCGTTAAAGTTCAGGGCTTCCCTGGTGGCGCAGTGCTTGAGGGTCCGCCTGCCGATGCAGGAGACGCGGGTTCGTGCCCCGGTTCGGGAAGATCCCACATGCCGCGGAGCGGCTGGGCCCGTGAGCCATGGCCACTGAGCCTGCGCGTCCGGAGCCTGTGCTCCGCAAATGGGAGAGGCCACAACAGTGAGAGGCCCGCATAACGCAAGAAAAAAAAAAAAAAAAAAAAAAAAAAAAAGCGTTAAAGTTCAGAGTTGCAATCTAAGAGTGGAAATTGCTAATTTCTTCTTTGGAAGAAACAAAGTTTTAGAACTTTCATCTGAAGGTTAGTACTTAAAAAGATTTTTAAGAAACAAACCCATGTTTTAAAAACAAATCCTTCAGGCCAATGCATTAACTAATAAATTTTGTAATTCTTCTGAAAACATGCTACTGTACATGTAAAATATATGTTAAGTCTTTGTTGAATTTCCATAAATTTAGTAAGGACTAACAAACCCAATGAATGAATAACTGTTGCAGAATAACGATGTAATGCCTGGAAGCCTCTTTCTCGAAACTACACAATTCCTTTGCCAATTAGGAATTGAATTTGAAATCTGCTCAAGATAAAAGTGCTACAAAGTTTACATGACCTCCAGAAAAATGAACATCATCTCCACCAATTATAACTATGTTTGAAATTATAAATTTAACTATTTTCCATTCTATGGTGTTTAAATAAACTTATCATCTCAGAAATTTGTTTTATTCCATTCTCAACAACTTATCATTTTGCGCTAACATTTCACAATTAATTTTTCTTCCCAAAATAAAAGCATCTGGTGAAGACATTTAAATTTGTCCTAAGTATAACTATAAACTCTGTCATTTGTGGAATGTACTTCGGTCCCAAGAAATCTCTATTACCTTAGGAATAATGTAAATATCTTAATGTACATATACGCACAAGTGTATGTTAAAAGGCTGCATACATCTTACTTTTCAAACTTCACCATGTAATTCTAATTTCTCAGCTTCTTCTCAAGCTTCAACCTGAATACCAGGATTAAGTTTTTGTCAGTGTAATGGATATAATTTTTAAAACACTAGGTTTCTTTGCAATTCAAAGCCTCTATACATATATAAACCATCACCACTACTTATCTGTAACATTTCAATGACATAGCTTCATATACTCAAAGTTTCACAACAAAGAAAGCACTATACAACTTTAGATGCTATGAAAGCCCTGGGAAAATCAATTGAGTATGTATGTAATTTTGAATGATTATGTAATATTGATTTTAGTTTAAGCTTATTTTACTTTTATGGTTCAGTGCTAAACAGTTATCCCATTTTATAAAATTTACCTTCTTTGATATGCCCTTTTGCTATCAGAACATTATTAATAGTTCATTTATTGCATCAACACTGGGGATTTTCAGTAGTCTACAGGTCACGAGTTTAACTGCTATTTTAACTATGGTAAATTGGTTTCATATTGGCTTGACCGACCGTTTACATGGATAAGGTGGACAATGCTGGATGTCTACCCAACACCCATTCCCCTACCCCTTTCCTCCTGCCCAACACAACGGCTACTGGGTTGATACCAAACTCTCCTTTTCAGATAGATGACTTTGAGAGGCTTTTGTGATCTCCTGCTCCAAAGACAGGTCCTGGTAAGTCTATATGGAACATATTAATACCATTCCTCTTACCAGGGACTGGTTCAAAAGCTCAAGCTTAATCCAATCAGCATATGGAGTATCTCTGAAGACTAGTATTGGCCCATGGTTAAAGGAGAAGTTTTCTCTCTCTAGATGTGAACAAGAAAGCATGTTCCCTTAGTTACTGCTGGCAGTCATTTTACAACCATAAAGAACTGGAGGGTAGGGCAAAACTGACAAAGGAAGGCAAGGCCAAGAGAAGTAGAACAACAGAATGAAAGCCTTGATCATGTCCTACCTGAAGCCCACTGACTCTGGAATTTTTGTATGCAATGTAACATATTTCCTTGTTGGTTAGGGCAATTTATTTCAGATTTTTGTTGGCTCTGCAGCCAAGAACATGCTACATTTTTTTTTAACATAGGCCACACTGCCAACAGTGACTCCTAATTTGAATTAACTCCAAATTATTAGGATCTGCCATCAGTCACTCACTCAGAATTACTCTAGAGCCAGAGTCCCAGAGTTGGCCGCCTGAACTGAGTTCACTCTGGTGGAAAAAACTGAGACACTTCAGCTGCTATTAGCTATATCTCAAAATCTGACCATGCAAGTTATAGACATAATCAAAGAAGAATTAAAATATTATTTCGTTAGAAGATTTTTTCATCAGGTAATAAAAAATTACACATTTACAAGATAAACTTCTCCAAAGGGAGGTTCTCTTTTCTCTTCTTACCTCTTTCACACTGTGGACCAGTGAATCCATAAACACAAGCACAGCGGTTGGGTCCAATACAACGTCCACCATTCTGACATCCATTTTCACAGACGGCTGCACACAAACACAACAAGAAGCTCACTGTACAGTAAATGTCCAAGTACAATGTAGTAGTGTAGAAATGTAGCAATAATGGATCTTACCTCTCAAACACATCACATCATGCATTTAAGTAAATATATTTCAGTGTATATTGAGACCAAAACCTACACAATTCATGTAAATCACATTGTTAAGCATTTGGTAAAAGTTTTTTTTTAAATCGGAATCACAAGGATTGGCTGGCTCTAATGCCCATAGTCAGAATATAATGAGTCGATCCTCTATTTCAGTTCTATTAACACTATAATCTATTTTCATAGGTAAAAGGTGACTAAAATATGAAGGAAAAGGATTGTAGAATTGAGAGAGCAGAGAGAGGGAGAAAAAGAAGCAGAGGAAAATGCAATATGAAAAATTAAAGAGGATATGGCAATAAAAAAGAAAAAAACAAAGAAAAGGAAGCCAAAAACGAAGGCAGAATAAATAAGTAAAAGGCAAAGCTAACATGAAAAATGGGGGGAAATACTATCAATTCAGCAATAAAATACCAAGAGAAGTAACTAACGTGTCAACTTATAGAAAGAAAGAAAGGGGAAAACCTCACTGTGTCAACACAAAAGGTTCTTTCTTATGAAATTAACCCACAGTTCAAAATGTGTAAGTAATGATGACAAACACCTGCAGCACACACTTTCCCTATTCCAACAGCATTTGCTCACTTTGTGTCTCTGTGTCACACTTTGGTGATTCTCACAATATTTCAAGCTTTTTCATTATTATTACATTTGTTATAGGGATCTGTGATCAGTGACTTGCTGAAGGCTCAGATGATGGTTAGCATATTTTAGCAATTCCCTACTCTGGACTTGCGACAGGGAGACCAGAATTTGGAAGTCAGGTGGCCCAGAGGGAGCCAGTGAGTCAGAAAGGAATCTGAACTCTCTCCCCACCCTCTCTCCCCACTGCACCTCCCAAGGGGAGCAACTCAGCAGCCAGGACCCAAGACAAGGAAGTGTCCTAAAAAAAATCACCCTTCAGATTACTTGAAAAATAAGTATTCCTCTGAAACATAATGAGGACAGCTGAATTCAAGAATCTCATCTCCTGCAAGAGAAAATACCAATACTACAAGCTGTGTCATAACCTACCCACCTGTTGAACAGATTAACACTCTGTCCTCACAGAAGTAGAAGAGGATTACATTCTATGACCTGTGCCTCCAAAACAGGACTTAAGACACGAAAGGGCAGTGACGAGGCAGAGCACATTTACATGCGCTTCAAGTGAGGGCCATATCGGAAATGGGAAGCTCAGTAAATAAAGCGATATCTAAAGATGCAAAAGGGTTGCTATTTCCTTACCAGGAACATGCAGCTGGATTACCTACCATCATCCAGAGCACACAGAATGGTTTCTCTTCTGCTCATAGTAGCAATACCAAAGCAAACTTTGAAACAAGACACCTTCATCTTAAAGCATCAGTGTGCCAATAGTCTTAAAATTCTTTGTCTGCATCAGGCTTCACTCCAAAGCAGAATTCTTTGTATGTCTACACAGGAAAATCTCCCTAAGAACCACACCTTTCCACTTCTTCCCTTGTCCCAAGCCGAGTTTTACTAGAAAGTCCAATTCATTACTGCCTTGGAAGAACAGTTGGGCAGTAAGTTAGATGGATAAATACACAGGATAAAAGACGCGAAATAAAGGTCATGAGAAGCATGAGAAAGATGGAGGTGGACAGGAATGTGGAAGGAACAAAAATCTGTCAAGAGAACTCTCGGTAGGGTATAATTTCACAGAAACAACCGTAAGGATTTGAAGATTTTGATTGCTAAAGGTTTACTGCAAATGGGTAACACTCACCTAATGTAATTAATTCATATGAAAGGAATTTTCTTTAAATACTATCAAGGTGTAAGAAATGTAAATGAAAGTCACTGTCCCAGACATGTTCTCTCATTATACATATGCTAACCCTTATGATGTGAACGGGAAAACGCATCCATGACTGACACTCAGGATCTATCCCTGGGGAGGCGGAGGGAGGGCTTCTCTCAGGGTTTTCCAAGACACAGCTTCCAAATGCCAGTGAGGAGAAGAGGGCTGGATAAGCCTGGAGCATCTCCTGGAGAGAAGCTCTCCCAGTACACATGAAATCCAGGCTAACCTACACAGGTTAGACTAACAATGCCTCTCTTCTCACGAAATTTTTTTTTTGGTGTGGAAAACGTAGTTATTATTCATAAAAAATTATGTTAACATGGCTTTTTGTTACTTCAAATGAAATAATTTTTTAAATTTCTCAATTTTAATTTTTAATACAGTAAATATCAGCAGGTATAACGCATTTAAACAAAAGATCTTCGGTGACTTCAATAATTTAAGGAAGTACCAAGGGTTCCTCTGAACAAGAAGGACGAGACCGGCCGATACAGCCATTTGCTTCTATTCCTACTCTCACCTGAGAGAGAGCTCTTCCAGGAGAGGGACCATAGGGAGTTTGCCCCTCACTTACTGTAGTATTTGACGTACTGCAGATTCTCAAAAGCTCCCAAAATAGGTCAAAATCTCGCGGGATTCTTCCCACCTTTCGGGGAGGCGGAACAACGCAGGGAACAGATGAGGAGTTCTGCTGTGCTCAGCACATCCCAATCATGTCATCCTTCCCATTCTCAGCTTCCCTGCCTATAACGTAGAGTTAATAGTCCCTACCCCAGAGGAGTTTGAGGATTAAATAAAATGGTGTAAAAAACAAAGTTCACAGTGGCTACACATTAAAGTGTTCTACAGTCTTAATTCCCCTTCTTTTTTATACTCTGCAAAGGATCTCCATGAAAAACAAGACTTGTTCTACAGCCACCAAAGTTTACCCTGAAGAGCAACAGCCAAAGAAGAGAAGCAGGCAATGCAGATATAAAAGTGGACCAAAGGGAAAAAAAGAGGTAATTTCCTTCTTTTGAATAAATTAGGATAAAAGTTATTTTATAAAGTAACAAGACATAACGGCAACAAATTTACCTTTCAACTGCAGTTGGAAAGAAACTTGTATAAGCCTAAATTTCCACCATGGAAAGAATGCTGACCACTCAGGAAGATAAAAAAAAATGCTTACACCTAGTGTGGGACAAAGCAAAAGGCAAGGAAGAAGACGACTATGGAAAGAAATATGAGCTGCTTTCTTAACTGCCTGCCGTGATGTGGGGAGAAGGGAGAAGCAAAGCCTGTTTCAAGCTGGTCAGCCTGTGATATAGAACCCTGATCATGACTGCCAAAGCCTGAATATTTTTATTCAGTGAATATTTACTGAGCACCTACTCTGTGCTAGGTAACATGACAAGTGTCTGTTATTACTAGACAGACTCCTGTACCACTCAATATAGGTACAAACACTTGGACATAAGCCAAATCTGAAATTATGGTAGTTACTTCTACACAAACGTATGGGATAAAAACAGATGCTAAACCAGGTTAAAATGTTACAAAGAGGAAAGAAACCAAAGCCTATTTTTCTACATGAGATAATATAAATCTCTACTACTGGCGCTACCTTTTTCCTTTGTCTTCCAGGTTACCATGCTCTCCCAGTTTTCCTCCTGTCTCACTGTCTACTCTTCCTCACTCTTTGCTGGCTTCTCCTTTCTCTTCACCTCAAAATGTTGGGCAGCAATCAAGGCTCTGGCTTCAGCCCACTTCTCTACCTGCACCAACTTCCTAGTTATCTTTGTCTAGGCCTACAATTAAAAGATTAACCAGATAAAAATTCAGTCTATATGCTCCCGAAGTCATATCTCTATCTCTGACCTCTCTCCTAAGAGCTGAGTTCATAGATCTTTTCACTTGGAAGTCTAACAAACTTCTTTAACTATCAAACCCAAAAGAGAACTCTTGATATCCCATGCTCTTAGCCCCACCTGACCCCAGTCCAACCCACTCCCCGCTCAGTCTTTGGAATATCAGGAAATGGCATCACCATTCAGCCCAGAGCTCAACCCAAACCTTCTAGATGTCATTATGGATCTTTGCTTTTTCTTTCAGTCTCATTCACCACACCCATTCCATCAGTACACACCTCCTTCCATAGATTCTACCTCCAATGCAAGCTTAATCCAAACATTTATCACCTCTTCAGTTACTAGAGCATCATTTACCAGCACCACTGCACTAGCCTCCTAACTGACCCTTTCATTTTCTCTCTTGCTGTTTCTACAATCCAGTTTCAACACAGCAGCCAGAGTGACTTTTTTTTTTAATGTTAATCGGATTGTATCACTCCACTGCTCAAACTGCACCAATGGGTTCCCATATATTTAGGGGATAGTCCAAATTTCTTTCCTTGGTTTATGAGGCCCTACACCTTTGTCTCCAAACTCATCCCCTGCCATTATTTCTTTCCCTCACTTCAGCCACATAAGTCTTCCTCTTGTTTCCAAAATGTATGTAATCTGTTCCCACCATAGGTCCTTTGTATTTGCTTTTCCCTCTGTCTAGAACACCTTTCCCATAGACCTAAAAGCACAGACTCAGGTCTGTGTTCAAAGTCACCTTCTCAGAGATTCCCCAGTTAAAAAATAGCAGAGAACTGCTTATTCTGACCCAGACTCTCTCCCCCTTACTCTCATTTATTGTTCTAGAACTTCTCATTCCCTATATTTGTATTAGGCATTTCACTTTTCACCTACTTGTTACCTGTCTTCCCTACCAGAAGATAAGCTCTAAGAAGTTGGGCATCATCTTGCTGGTCACTGATGTACTCCCAGCACCTTGCACAATGTGGGGCATACAGTAGTTATTCAATAAACATTGCTGAAGGAGATGAAAGAGTGCTTTCTAAAGAACATTTTCTACATTTCTGGGAAAGCAGCTAAGCAATTTTAATGTTTTTATAATCCTCATTTTAAAAAACATTTCCAGGACTTTTCTGGGTTCACAAGTTGATACTGTTACACCCGCCTCTTTACTCCCAGTAATACTCTCTCTATATAAGACAACTTAGAAAGCATCTTCCTTAAACCATTTCTTGAGCTGACATGTACTAGTTATCATACCATCACCTTCTTATTTGCTGGGACTAATGAATTTTTTAAGTTATATAACTTTCTTGAACCAAATGTTCTATTACCCGTGAGTAAATGTTAGGCAAGGATAGTTCCGCCCATGAGATATCTAGAGAACAAATTTTCAGATGTATGATGGTCTTCTGGCCCAGTGCTTTTTCCCTTTCCCCTGACTGAAACGTGTGGTGACATCAATATGGCTTGCCACAGGGGCAGAGGAACATAAAAGCACCTCCTACAGGATGGGAAACTACTTTCCGTCACCTCATTTCCCATTTCTGTGTGAAGAGCAGGGAAGAGACATACCTACAAGAGCTCTTTCTGTAGAACCTTCAGGAAAATACATACATACATACACACACATACCCCAGACAGGTACAGCAGCTGAATTCAGGCAAAAGTGGCTAGTCTTAGGATAGGTTTGACAAAATACTCTGAAAGACCAGTTGAGGCAAGGCTCTTCCCCTGCAATTCTAAAGGAATTACGATTTTTCTCCCTAAGGAGTAAAAGGTTGAGTTTCAAGAAGCATAACAGTGTCTCTTCTCTGGCTATTGAATTCTATAAAATAGGGATACAATCAGATCTCCTAATGTTTTGTAGGTGTAAAAAAAGGTATAAATCTGCTTTGTTATAAATAAAATAGACAAATTATGGGAACATGCTGTACAGTACAGGGAACTCTACCTAATGCACTGTGGTAACCTAAATGGGAGGGAAGTCCAAAAGGGAAGGGATATCTGCCTGTGTATGGCTGATTCATTTTGGTGTGCAGTGGAGGCTAACACAACATTATAAAGCAACTGTACTCCAATAAAAATAAATAAATAAATAAATATGGTGTTCATAATAGACTTTTTTAAATAGTTATAATCTGAAGTCCATTGTATAAAATTTGGAAAATGCTTGAATGTATGAAAAAATACAGAAAAAAAATCATTTATGAAAAAAGAAATTTTGTTACAATCTCTGATCCACTGTTGTCCAGCTGTTTCCTGCTCTCACCTGGTCAACCCTAGCCTAAAAAAAGTTATTACATTGGCATCTTCTATTCTTGCAAAAAACTGGCCTCAGTGCACGGTGTTCTCTCAAATTCCTTAAGATTCCATTTCCCAGGCTCAATCTCAGGCTAGCTTAACAGCTTTTTCCATACCTGAGAACCACCTACACAAGGGGTCTGCAAACTATGGGCTACAGGACAGATCTGGCTCACTGCCAGTTTTTGTGCTGTCAATGAGTTAAGAAGGGTTTTTACAATTTTATGTGGTTGAAAAATCAAAAGAAGAATAATGTTTTTGTGGCACATGGAAATTATATGAAATTCAAATTTCAGTGTCCAGAAAGTTTTGCTGAAACACAGCCAAGCTTTTTTATTTGCATATGGTTGCTTTTGCATTACAGTGGCAGAGTTGAATAGTGACACGGATCATAAAGTGTAAAATATTTACTATCTGGCCTTTACAGAAAATGTTTGTCGACTCCTGACCTTAAGAGAATATTTTTCTTTAAATCAATTCACCTGTTTATTTTAAATTATTTTAAAAGAAAACTTTATAGCACTTATAAACAGAAAGCTAGAATTACCCAAACCTGAAGGCAACCTCAAAAATAACATCAACAGCCACAAGGAGATACTTTGTATCCATTAAGATTGCTACCATCAAGAAAACAGAAATAACAATTGTTAGTGAGGATGTGGAGAAAATGGAACCCTTGTGCACTGCTGGTTCCCACCTGTAGTAAAATATAAAACGGTGTAGTCACTATTGAAAACAGTATGAAGGGCAGGTCTTCAAAAAATGTAAAACAGAATGTAAAACAGAATTACCACATGTGGTAATTATGGGTATATATCCAAAAGACCTGAAGCAGGGACTTGAATGGATGTTTATCCACCCAGGTTCACCACAGTGTTATTCATAACCGAAGGTGGAAGTATCTCAAGTGTCCATCAATGGACAAATAGATAAAAGCAAAATATGACATATACACAAAATGGAATATTATTCAGCCTTAAAAAGGAAGAAAATTCTGACACAAGCTACAATATAAATGAACCACGAACACATTATGCTAAGTGAAAGAAGCCAGCCACAAAGGGACAAATATTATATGATTCCACTTATATGTGGTACCTAGAGCTGTCAAATTCACGGAGACAGAAAGTAGAATGGTGCTTGCCAGGAGGTGGGGTGAGGGGAAATGGGGAGATAGCATTTAATGGGTACAGAGTTTCAGTATTGCAACACAAAAAATATTCTGTGGATGGATGTTGGCGACAGTTACACGACACTGTGAATGTACTTAATGCCATACTTAATGCCAGTGTACTGCCGTACTTAATGCCATACTTAATGCCAGTGTACTGAACATACACTTAATAGTTAAAATGGTAAATTTTATATATTTTACAATGATTTCAGAAGTTTTTTAAACTGCAACAAAACCAGAATAAGCTTAGTTTAAAACAAGCTAGATATTCTTGCACATCTAAGACGTGGTCTTGCTATGTTAAAATGGTTAATGAACAATTCTTTGGGAGGCCTTGATGATTAGCAGCAAACCTAGACTCTGCACCTGATGAAATGCAAATGGAGTGAAAAGGGACTTTCTTACTATTTATGATTCAACTTTCGTTAATATCATGTCCTTCTACTCATCCATACTTAAAAATATGGGGATTCCCGTACGAGTCCCACAATTTGGGAAACACTAACCTAAGTATTGCCCAGTGATAAGTCAAAATACAAGAGCTATCATCCTTACATTCTTGCTAAAAGGTTGTTTTTGATTATAATAGGATATTTTCCAGTGAGTGAAGAGCTTTGCTGGATTAAAGCTCCCTCTTTACAATGACATGATTTTTTAAAAAATCACTTCACAGCCCTGTACTGTGGTATTAAATAATAAAATATATTTGAGCAAAGGACAATTTATAAGATTGGCTCTGCTAGGGTTAAATTTGGGATATCCTAAAAAGAGAGAGAGATCACAGCGAACGTTACCATTTTTTTCAGAAAGGTATCCATGTTTTATGGAACTAGATAAAAGAAAATCAAGTAAATATTTACCTGTGATATATGTCAAATTTGATAAAGCACTAGTAATATTCAACAACATCAATACTCTAAAACAAAAATTTTTAAAGAACTGGAAAACATTAGGTATTCAGCTATAAGGTATGTCTTTTCTACCTCAAAATATTTTTAAAGGATTTTAAGATCCTTTACAAGACCTTAAGTTATGACTCAGTATCAAACACCCACTCAATCAAATTATTTCTAATAAATCGAGTCTATCCCAATGTTGCTTACGTTGTCCACAATAAGTTCCAATATATCCTTTCTGGCACTGGCAATGGTCATCTGCACAGGTCCCACCATTCATGCACCTAACACTGCACTGCTGAACTGCAAAGAACAACAAAAAACATAAAATTATCAGTCACCAGAATTATAGTATCTGTGAGAGTGATAAAACTATACTAAATACCCAATTAATGACAAATGTATTCTACGGAAGTAAATGTTATGACCCATGCATACCTTTATTTATTTGTAGTAAGTATGCACACGAGCATATCTGTTACAACATATGTTATTTAGTATATATTTAAAATCTATTATACTTTCAATGTTAAAAGAAGGAAATATAAGGTGACTAGAAGTGTAAGTTCTAGGATGCAGGAAGCACTCATGTATCCATTCAGAATGCGGTGGCTGAGGCCTGGCACTGCCATCACCCAGTGCTTAAGCAACTGCTTCTCTTTCTCTCACATCAAGTGTTTTAACAAGGTCTGCAGGTTCCACTGGAAAATATATCTCAAATCCATCTTCTCCTTTCTGTCGCCATTGATACTGTGTGGTTCCGCTACCCTCATCTCTCACCTGGACTGTTGCAGTAACCTCCTGATAGGTTCCCTAGCTTCTACTCTTACCCTCTTCAAATTCTTTCTCTGCAGAGCAGCTACAGTAATCTTTTAATAATATAAATGGCATTGCTTCATTTTCTTATTGAAACCCTTTCAATGATTCCCTGTTGCATTTGGGATATAATGCAACCCTTCCATGACCAAGGAGGCCATGTATTATCTCCCTGGATGTGCCTGCTTCTCTAAGATCTTCTCTTCCCAATCTTCCTCTTTGTAATCACAAGAACCTTTCACAGTTTCTCAAGTGAAGGAAAGGTCTTTTGATCCGCTACTTCCTCTCGCTGTGAGGGTCCCTCCCTGGCTCTTCTCATGCCTGGCTCATTCTCGTCCTTCGGAACTCAGCTCCAATATCACGTCTCATCAGAATGGTCTTGTCTGGCTCCTGTAACTAGGTTCCCCCTTGGCTCCAGGCTGCTCTCCTTCACAACAAAGTTTCCTTCCGAGAACTTACCACTATCTATAATGACTCTGTGGTGTTTGTTTACTTGTGTTTTGTCTGTCTCCCTACAGGGATGTAAGCTCCGTGACAGTGGATGCCAAGTCCATTATGACATCAGGGCACTGAGCTCATTGCCATTTGCTGGGGCCAAGGAAACTGTGGAAGAAGTAGACTGTGGTCAACAATGAATCGAGAGTTTCATGCCACAGTTTCAGATGCCTACTATCCATTCAAGTGGAGATGTCCAATAGGAAATGGAACATGTGAATATGAAGCTCAGTGGAGGGATCTACTCTAGAGATAATCATTATGAGTTAGCAACACATTGGTAGTAACTGAAGACATATATGTAAACAAGTTCACCCAGGGAGGACAGAACTCTTGGGAATACCTAGCTGTGACTGTAAGGCTAATAAAGAAGATACAGAAAGGAGACTAAGAAATAATAATCAAGAAAAGGAGTATTGTGAGCCATTAATATTTTACAAGTGAAGGGGAAAGAGAGCATTTCAAGAAGATACTGATTAATGGTGCTAAATGCTTTGTGGAGCTGGAGCATCTTGAGGACTGGAAAGGAGAGAAAAGTTCCTGATGGAAAGGCAGCCAGTATTACTCAAGGCCAAATGAATTCAGGGATCCCCTATTAAATTACATACCATAAACTGAGGGTCAGCCAGTGATTGTTCAGCTGCCCAGGTAGAGGAATTAAGAAACTGAACTGTATAATATTTCTCCAGGTTTGGGTTTTTTGCTGAGGGTGTAGTTGAGAAAACTAAAAGAACAGGATAATGAAGATATGGGGAATGGTATCGTCCAGGCAGTCAGACAAGGGAGGTTCAGGAAAGTAGTGGAAGAAATTTGCTAATCTGGGTGGTCAAGAAAGTCTCAATGAATTCTAAATAACAGGTTTTCAAAGGTTGGGAAAATGACAGATTATTTTCACAGAAAACGAAACTAGAGCATTAATCAGAAGTTTCATCATCAGACAATGACATTTGTTATATGAATCTTGAATCTTATATTCCTCAATCAGATAAATTATCTATTACCTTTTCTTAGGGAAAATTTGTAGAGAGAAGTGTTAAAAATATAACAACTTCACACTAGTTTGAGGCAGACAAAGATTTATTTCATTATTGAGCAATTAGATAAATAATATCTGCTTCCACCTTGCTATAAAATATTACCTTAAACACTGGCCGAAAAGATTAATCTTGGACCTTAAAGACCCATCAGTTTCTACTTAGGTCATGAAAAACACAATCTTAGCCCACTGTTATTGTGATCTTACAGAGCTGTTGGGAGTCAGTATGTGAACAGCAAAATAGCTAATATATGTAAAACATCTGGTCAGTACACAATAAATATTTGTTGTCATCTCAATCCTCTTATCCTTCCCCTTTAGTTAACCCACAAAACAGGATATGAGCCACAGGAGTTAAGCAAAGGCAATAAACAGAGCTGAGGGTTTGAGACTACAGGCTTAGGCATCAGAATCCCTGGCTTCAAATCCATGTTACTTTGGGCGAGTTAAACTTATGTGCCTCATTCTCCTTCTCTGTCAATGGGGTAGTAATAGTATCTCATAATATTCATATGAGAATTAAATAAAATGATATAGTTTAACACTTAAAACAGTACCTGCAACATGGTAAAAACCCAGTTAAGTTATAGCTATTACTCGCAAAGAATTACTTCTCCACTAAATCCAGGCTCTTTTACTGAATAGAAACATAGCTTCTGGACCAGTATGAAATCATTTTTCTTAATGAAAATCACTCCCCCATTACCCCTTAGTTGTTGGTGGCAACAACTAAGCCACCAAGGATTTTTACTCCAAAGATTAGTACTGACCTAGTTAGGAAAATTATCATGCGTCTATATCCTCATTGAAAAGGACATTTAGTATTTACTCAAGAGCTTACAGATAATGCAGTAAATAAGGTCACATATTAAAAACGTACTTGATTTTGATCCACAGGTTGGTGATATTTGGCCGCTGGAACAAGTACACATGTTAGGACGGGAACAAAATCCATCTCCACAACTATTTCTACAAATTGCTGTAGAAAGCACAACAGGGAAACGAACAAACAATTAGGTAATAAACCATAGTTTACAAAATAAGAAAACTATAGTTAAAAACAATAAACCTGAAAAACTAAGATACACAATATGTGATATATTATATACAATAGAATATTACTCAGCCATAAAAAGAAATGAAATTGAGTTATTTGTAATGAGGTGGATGGACCTAGAGTCTGTCATACAGAATGAGGTAAGTCAGAAAGAGACAAACAAATACCATATGCTAACATATATATATATATATGGAATCTAAAAAAAAAAAAAAGGTTCTAAGGAACCTAGAGGCAGGACAGGAATAAAGATGCAGACGTAGAGAATGAACTTGAGGACACGAGGAGGGGGAAGGGTAAGCTGGGACGAAGTGAGAGAGTGGCATGGACATATATACACTACCAAATGTAAAATAGACTGCTAGTGGGAAGCAGCCACATAGCACAGGGAGCTCAGCTCGGTGCTTTGTGACCACCTAGAGAGGTGGGATAGGGAGGGTGGGACGGAGATGCAAGAGGGAGGGCATGTGGGGATATATGTATACGTATAGCTGATTCACTTTGTTATACAGCAGAAACTAACACAACATTGTAAAGCTAATATACTCTAATAAAGATTTTTTTTTTGTTTTTTTTTGTTTGTTTTTTTTTTTGCGGCACGTGGACCTCTCACTGCTGTGGCCCCTCCCGCCACGGAGCACAGGCTCGGGACGCGCAGGCTCAGCGGCCATGGCTCACGGGCCCAGCCGCTCCGCGGCATGTGGGATCCTCCCTGACCGGGGCACGAACCCGCGCGTCCCCTGCACCGGCAGGCGGACTCCCAACCACTGCGCCACCAGGGAAGCCCCTCTAATAAAGATGTTTAAAAAATGTTTTAAAATATGTGATATATAATGCCTAATTTCAGATATACAACAAAATTACCCATTGTAGACAAGTGAATAAGTCTCTTAAGTATCCTTATGATAATGTTCACACAAATGAAGCTACTTCAAGTTCCATAATCCTAATCATTCAATTCTTATCAACACAGGTCATCTTTTCCATTCAAGGGAAAGAGTTTATAATCAGAATTCACCGTGAGAAGACAGTCTTGGTCCTAGGAAGCTGGGAGGGTTGAGGAAACCTAGAGGTCCTGCATACCTTCAGAAAACACAGCCAACTCTGTAAAGGACCTTCACAGGAGACAGAGAATGTGAAATTGGCTGAGCTGGAGACTCCACGCTCTAACGACTTGGCCAAGCCCCAGGGGTTCCATGCACATTCCTTCCTGGCTGGTATCTGACCTGCCCCATCATCAATCTTTGTTCCCCTTAATAATTCTCTCTCTCCTTCCTCCAGCCTTTCTTCTCCCATTTTACCTCCACAACCTAGCCTATTCCTGC